GTGGCGCGATGCCGAAAAAACCAAAAATTCACTAAGCGCTCTGCCTTTAATATGTTTCGTGCAATGTAAGCAAAAGATGAAAATTTGCAATCGGAGGGCAATCTGACTTTCATTTTTAATCAACGAATTAATATTTCATATAAAGGCAAGATAAACTAACCACTCGTTCTAAGCGCAATATCAATGCGTGAGCAATGGGACAGAAAAAAAATCGTTGAAATTAATATTTTTATTCCTGAATTTTCCACTTTTCGTACACCATTCGATATAAAATAAATACTTTCATCGTGTTTATGTTCATGTATCCCTAATGATAATAATTTATAAAAATGCCTGGAAATATTGTAACCTGAAAAATTTTCTTCAATAAACTACTATTGACAATTTTTATGCAAACAAAAATGAACGTCATTATTTTTCATTCTGAAAATCGCCAATATTAAGTGATTTTTCTTAATGATTTATTCGTTAATTGATGGATGTTGTCGGATGTCCTTCTATAATCAACGATGCCTTGATTTTGCCATTGAAAATGCCAGAAATTCAAAATAATATTTAACTTCCTAGCAGTGATAACTTCATTTTCTTTCTCGTTTGGGTCAATTCAGAGCCACACATGATCACTGATCACCTCAGATGAGTAAGACACAGCCTGAAAACCAAGTACAACTGGGCAATCACTTTGAAATGTCATCTATCAGATGAGTAACTATAACCTTCTTAATGGTCTTTAATTATTTCCAATAACAAAAGTCTGGAAGCTGATTGAACCATGTTGCCATTGTTTTGTGTTTCATATGCTAAGAAAAATCTATTCATAGATGATTGCTAGATAGTATATTCTCTATTACCTTTCTTGTGGCTACCAACTCAGTCTAAATGGTTTGTACTCCCTTGTATTGAGACGAAACCGAAAATAGCATCAAACCATTTTCATAAATCTATAGGTGAGATCGACAGTGATGTATGTTACACTGATTTGGTTGTGAAAGAGAAGAGTAAGTTTCTTCCGACTTAAAAATGGTTAAAAGGGGAGTATGTTCATTTCTGGTGGGTCCTCGCGGTTTTTCGCGGTTTCCGCGGAACTGATTAGAGATAACAAGTTGGTGTCTTCGGCAAAGTTGTAGTACTCAAAGTCTTCTATAACTTTGCTGAAGACAAATATCTCTTATCTCTTATCAGTTCCGCGAAAAGCGCGAAAAATGATAAGAAAAAAAAGTTCTATATAAAATTTGCTTTTTCATGTGCGCGATTTGCGCGCAACTGATAAGAGATAAGAGATAACTGTCTTCAGCCAAGTTATAGAAGACCTCAAGTACTACAACTTTGATGAAGACACCATGTTGTTATCTCTTATCAGTTGCGCGAAAACCGTGAAGACCGCGGAGGCTAGACGGTACTAGAACATACTCCCCTTTAATGCCATCAGAATCATCAGAAAACATACTCCTCTTTTTCTCAAAATAAGCCGACAAAAAATAGGGTAATGGTTTGTAAGTTGACCATGCATGTAAGTTGACCACCCCATGGTTTTTCGTATTTCTGACAGTAGAAACGTCAGAGTTTGAACTGTCAACGTCATTAAAACAGTGGACTTCAATTTTAGTGTGGTTTCCGAGTGAAAAGACGCATCGTGTATTAGTCATACGAACACCGTATATTTTCTTGGATAAAATAATTAAACTCCGTTCATTTCCCTGTCATCGTAAAGTGAACAATTTTGATCGTTATCGAAAAGTGAGTATGATCTTTACATAGCAGTTTTTAATGTATTTTCATAATCCGATCTCAAATCCAAGGATTTGGTGGCTTGGAAAAAATTCTGATTCATTTAGCAAAGTAATCAAAAAATGTAAGTTGACCACATTTTGGACTTGTAAGTTGACCACCCATGTTTTCTACTGTGTAAACATGCCGACAACATGTTCATACTTGTTGAATGTTTGGAATTGACATCGGATCAACTTTAAAGTATTTTTGTGTTATTTTAGTGGTATTGAAATGGTATTTTAGTGGCATTTTTGTGATTTTTTTCTAGTTTCGGCAAATTTTTAGTATGGCAAGTCGTCGAAGCCGATCCACTGATCGTGGTATTTCGGATTACGAAGAATTACTCCGGGCAATCAAGGCAATCAAAGTGGACAAGAAATCAGTAAAGAGCACAGCGCTTGCTCACAATATTGGCCGAAAAAGTTTCGGTCAACAACTCGATCAAATGTCATAGGTGTAAGGCATACGTTCATGCCAAATGTGTGAACCTGAACATGCGCTTCAGTGTTTACGTCTGTCCAGAATGAGATTCGGAAGCTTCAGACCTTATTGTCGAAGAAATTGATGAAGATGATTTTGAATGATGTGCTTGTGCATCCGACACCAATTTTCATCGAAAATATACCAAATTTGCCGTTATTTCTGTGTTCAAAGCCAATAAAACTAATTAACATTCAATAAAATTCCATAAATTTTGTAATTGGAGTGTTTGCACTCAATATTCTTTACATTTTCAGAGATTTTCAGGGGGTGGTCAACTTACATGCCAACATTTTTTTTCTCGATTTCAAGCCACTTGGAAAATCGGCTGAAAAAAAATCATGTTCCATTAAACCAAATAGCTTTCCATGGCAAATTTGTAGCTTTTGAGGTCCTCTTTCCAACGGTATTTCAAAATCTACGACATCTCGATTTTTCGAAAAGTTATGGAAATATCAAGGATACATGGTCAACTTACAAACCTCTCCCCTACTTATTCCACTCTCGATCTCACCCATAGAAATGTACTTGAGAACCGAGTATTTTTTCGTCTATTCTTGGTAAGAGGATAATTTAAACCACCTTTTTTTAACCCTTCAAGCTTTGAGTTTAAGACCAGTCGAAAATTGCCAAATCACTTGTTTCAATTATCTTCTATAGATTCAAACTTTCAGCCAATGAAGCAGCTGACTTCATGTCTAATTCCAAAACCTTAACCTTCACCACGTGCAAAGGCAAAGGTGGATCAAAAACGAGATTCGAAACTTATCTAATCAAAATTAGGTCAAACTGATAACACTTCTTTCTTCTCCATATCATATTTTTAATTTAATAAAATAATTTGACATTGTTTGAATGATATATTTTATTCTGATATTTCATCAGAACGAAAATCAGTTTAAGAACGTACTATATGATGCAATTCGGTTGAATGTTGAGTGTGGAATTATTCTGACTGCGGACAAAGTCGACTGGCCAAAAGTGATTATTCAGTACAAAAAGTTTTTGTCAAAAACAATGATCATAGTTCACTCCTAAATTGATTGCAGTCAAAAATGCAGTCTCAAATTATGCGATTTGCGACAATTTTATCGTAGTCGAATATTTTCCATCCAAATCATCTGTTCTAACTAAATTCGCTTTTCTACTAGAAAATCGACTAATTTTCAGTTACAATCAATCGGTCAGTGGTTTTCATTTTGAAATTATGTGTTACAAAACAACTCGATTGCTTTTCTCTTTTCATTTAATTTTTTTTGCAAAAAATATTCAAAACATTCGAATCACGTGTCACTATTACTCAACATCTGATCGAATTGCTTCATGCAGAGCGTTCTTAGAATTGATTTTCATTCTGACGAAACAGGGAAATGAAATGTATCATCCAAACAATAGCAGTTCATTTGAGTAAGTAGGAATAAATCAACGTTAATCTGAACGAGACATCTTGAAAAAGTGATTCAATATGATTGATTGAGTCGATAAATAATTTGACATAAAGTCATGTGTTAGACTTTGAGTGTTTTGATTTTAATGCGGAGCTTATCTGTTGAAATCGAAACATTTTATCAAATTACAATGTTACTGGCACCATTGTTCGCAGAATTCTTCAAACGAATAAAGGAATTGATAAGAAATTTAAAAAAAAAATATAAAAATGAATCATTTTTTTCCGAACTTCAGTTTAACTTCATTGAATACCAAACAAAGGTGTGTTTACAAAATGAAAGTAGAATCAATTTTAATAAGTTTAATATTATTTTTCGGCTGTTACAGCCCAACAAGAGCTGCCTCAATCCAAAACGTGGGTAGTAAAATCAAAATAGCGTCCAAGTCAAACTTGCAGAGTAGCGAAATGGGTACAAAATCGGCTGATACAAATTTGCAACGAATCCGCGATGAGTGTCAAGAGTTAATATTGACCGATGGACACATCCAAAAGCTGATGAAAACTATCATTCAGGAAATTGAACGTGGTCTCAGTGCAGAAACACACAATGAAGCTGATATCAAAGCATTCAACACATATGTTCAGGATTTGCCAAATGGCAATGAACGTGGCAAATTTTTGGCCCTAGACTTGGGTGGAACCAATTTCCGTGTGCTCTTAATTCATTTGAATGGCAAATATGAATATGAGAAGACATCGAAAATCTATGCAGTACCACAGAGCATAATGTTGGGCAAGGGTGAAGAGCTATTCGATCACATTGCTGATTGTTTGGCCAATTTCATGAAAGAAAACAACGTGTACGATGAACACCTTCCATTGGGATTCACATTTTCATTTCCATTACGGCAGCTCGGCTTAACGCGCGGTCTCCTAGCACAGTGGACAAAAGGGTTTGCTTGTTCAGGCGTTGTTGGTGAAGATGTTGTACAATTATTGAGAGATGCAATCGCACGCCGTGGTGACGTGCAAATCGATGTGATAGCCATTTTAAACGACACAACCGGTACACTGATGTCGTGCGCATGGAAAAATCGTCGTACCCGAATTGGTTTGATTGTTGGCACCGGCACTAATGCTTGTTACGTCGAAAAGGTTAAAAATTGTGAGCTCTGCGATGGTACGTCCAAAAAAGAAAACGTTATCATCAACACCGAATGGGGAGCGTTCGGTGACAACGGTGCATTGGACTTTGTGCGAACAAAATACGACAGAGAAATTGACGAGCACAGCATTAATCGAGGCCGACAAATCTATGAGAAAATGATTTCCGGCATGTACTTGGGCGAATTGGTGCGACTGGCACTGGTTCAATTCACCAAAGAAGGCCTATTGTTCAGTGGCCAAAGTGCAGATCTGTTGAACACCCGTGACCGTTTCTTTACAAAATTCCTGTCCGAAATTGAAAGTGACAAACCAGGCAGCTACAAACATTGTCACCAAGTGATGGATGAATTGGGCCTGCATAATGCCACCGACGAAGATTGCCAAAATGTTCGCTATATTTGCGAGCGTGTATCAACCCGGGCGGCGCATTTGGTGTCAGCCGGCATTGCTGCATTGATCAATCGAATCGACGAGAAAAGTGTGATGGTTGCTGTCGATGGCTCGGTGTATCGTTTCCATCCCAAATTTCATGATTTAATGACAGCGAAAATTCGTGAACTCATCAAACCAGATATCGAATTCGAACTTATGCTATCAGAGGATGGTTCAGGACGTGGTGCTGCACTGGTAGCAGCTGTTGCAAGTAGAGAGAATAGCCAGCAGTAGTAGAATTTATACGCAAATATACTATATTATTAACTCTTTTTTGGAATTGACTTCTCCTGTTGATTTTTATCTCCGAATTGCAAATGATGATGCAATTTCGTATAGAATTTCCAAATTGTCCATTTTTTTTTACTATGACGAGACTAGCACTATTACTTCTGAAGAAAATTACTAAGCAGTAAGCATCTGTGATTTAGACCAAATGATCAAGTTAATTACTAATCAACTTTTTGACAAATTAACGATAAAATGGACTTGTTTATGTGTTCAAAAAACTAATCAGCGATTCCAAATGTGAAAACAAAATAAAATGTTAATGAGAATAATAACGTGAGAGCTTTTCTCTTATAATTAACAAACAATTTCATAATTGTTCAATATCTGATAGAAGTGCCTCGTGTAAGGCGATTTTACAATGGTTCTCATTCTGATGATATATGTGAATAAAATGTATCATCAAAACAATACCTAAATTTTGATAATCACATGTTTAAGTGGAGAAAATAACTTCTTTGTCCCTTGAATCGATTCCATTGATTGAACCAATGAAATCCAACATTTTGACACAATCAACCTGTGCTTCTCTCCCATAAGAACCAATGTATTTGACGTGACAGTGAATAGCGGTAGCGCCTAAATAGGATCTGCGGCAACTTAAGGAACTATCAATACTTCTTGTTGTTGCGAAATTCATGACAACAACAACAACAAGTATTGATAGTTCTTAAAAATTCCGCGAATTGCGAATAGGCGCCACCGCTATCTTGCGCCGGTCAAAAGCACAGTTTGGACACAATGTCGTACGTTTGGAGTGTTTTGGTTTTAGACACATTCATCAGTCCTACGATAGATCCGAACATGAACACCTGATATCGTCTAATGGGCCGATGTTCTGGGAAACGAACGGTTTGTTTACATCTGTGCTGAACACTGAGAGAAAACGGGAAGGAAATATTCCAACCATGCGTTGTAAATGTTTTCAATGCAGATAATTGTGTAAATTGTCCAACGCTGATTGGAATATTGAATGAATTCCCGCACTTGTCAAATTTCAACAAGGGCTAAACAAATTACAAAATGAAAACATTTGTAATGCATAGTTGGAATATTTCCTTCCCGTTTTCTCTCAGTGAACGCAAAGGTTATCGACATACAATTGTATGTCTCAATTGCATGAGCGTCGTTTATGATAACGAATCTAACAAGTTACTGATCGATTGACATTTTCAACTACATAATATATTCAACACATCTGTTATTAAGTATGAAAGAAACCTTGATAGGTCTTGTTAGAATGCATTCACTTTGAACTTTATATCGTTTAATGCATATTTGATTCCGCTTTGAATATTTTCATTCTCATTATTCTTCGATTGTTTTTTTTTTTTTTTTTGAAAGAACTACAACAAAAATATCATTTGGGATGTTATTCGAAAAAAAAACATGCACTCTTCTTTATGCAATCATAGTGCGACAATAAAAATAGAAAGGCAAATTGTTGCTTGTAAAAATCTCTTGAACGCACTCTTTGAAAAAAAAAAAACACTGACCGAGTTTACATAAGTGTGAGTGGCAATTTGAATGCATTACACAGTACAATCAACTCAACTGACAGTTATACCTCAGCTGTGTGCATCTTTATCTCATCAGTTAAATATATTGATTAGTTAGGCCCACTATTTACTACATAATGAAATACATGTCATAAATAAGATTTTGCGCTCTGTAGAATTTGAGATAGTCTCAATATACTATTGATTAGCAACTGATTATCAGTTCTGTCGTTAGCAAGCCTCTGAACAATCACGTAAGTTACTTTTGAAATTTGAATGCGTAAAATTTTCAATCGATGAAACAAATTGGATCTAGAGTTTTAATTTCAAACGTGATCCAAGTTGATCTAAGTTTGGCTCTGAACTTTGTTCCCAAGTTTGGTTTGCAAGAATTTAGTTTTTTCCATCGATCGGTTACGGTTTTTTGAAATTTCTATTCATTGATTTCTAAATGTTAAATTCAATATGTTCTAGACAACATCAAGACCGAAAAGAAATTGCCTGTTTTCATTTAATAGGAAGAAATAATCGGACTATCAACGGCATAGATTCAAATTGAAACTAAATTTTAACCTGGAATTGAACATAATTGTCTGAAAACAACTTATTCCACCAACAAAAGTTGTTTGTTCAAGAAATAAACTGGAACTCCTTATTTATGCCACCAAACACATCAAAAATGCAGTCAACTGATAGAATTTTAATGATTGAGCCAATTGCCTTTGGGTTCAACGCTCAAACGGCAGTAAATAATTACTTTCAAGTGAATGATGGATCAAAATCGACTCAATCGGAAGCACTAAAACAGTTCAACAAGTTTGTGGAAAAGCTCCGAAGCAAAGGTGTGAATGTTATCACAGTGAAAGATACTTTAGAGCCTCATACGCCGGATTCAATATTCCCCAACAACTGGGTGAGTTTCCATCAAGATGATACAGTGATTCTATATCCGATGTTTGCTGAGAACCGTCGACTGGAGCGCAGAAATGATGTATTTGAATATTTATTGAATGAAGGTTTTAACATCTCTGCGATAAAAGACTATTCGATTTTTGAAGTAGAAAATAAATATTTAGAAGGGACTGGAAGTATGATCCTTGATCGTAAGAGTAAAATTGCATACGGTGCTGTTTCGCTGCGTTTGAATGAAGAGGTATTCAGGAAATGGTGTGCGGAATTTGGCTATCGCCCAATTGTATTTCATTCGTTTCAAAGTGTAAATGGAAAGCGACTTCCAATCTATCATACCAATGTAATGATGTGTGTGGCCAGCGACTTTGTTGTAATCAGCCTGGATACAATTGACAACAAAGAAGAGAGAGCATTTGTTGAGAAAACACTCACAGAAAGTCATAAACAGATTATTGAGATCACGGAAGGACAAATGCACAATTTCGCTGGAAATATGCTCGAAGTGAGAAATGACAAAGGCAATAAATTTCTTGTGATGAGTGAGAGTGCTTATAGGAGTTTAACCGAAGAACAAATTCAAAGAATTGAATCACACACTGAAATTCTATACTCGAATCTTGATGTTATTGAAAAAAAATGGCGGAGGGAGTGCCCGTTGCATGATGGCCGAAGTTTTCCTAACGAAATCTCGAATTTATTAGAAATGCAGAGCTGTTATTGAAATTAATTTTTAGTAAAGGCTGAAAATGCTTATTCAACCATTCCCTATCTGAACATATAACTTATTGAGAAATATCTTCATTGTAAAAATGAATGGAATGCTTTAAAATAAAAGAACGTATGATACACACACGCATCGAAACATAAATCAAAATATTCAAAGTTTTTCGATATTTTAGTTTGATGAAGAGGACTGTATAAAAACCAACTCCCTTGTGAACGTTTTTTTCATTATTTTTCTTAATCATTGATCCTCAGTCCATCATTAATCCTTTATTGCAACCTAAGCAAGTGCACTTTTACGCATTTGTAATGCATAAAAGATCGTTGAAGTGAAAGATTGCATTTTTTTAATTGAAAGTTGATTAAAATCGCCGTCTACAAATTTCTCTTTGAATGATTTCATGTTGCCGAATGGTGACTCCAAAAAATATTTGCTCTTGTAGAACTGGAAAAACTTTAATAAGCAGCGTGAAATGAAAAAACCAACAATTTGTTCATTTTTCTTGTTCATTGTTTTTTGTGAACATTCTCTTTGTGAATGTTCTCCTTGTAAAAAAACTTCATCGATTTCGCGGTTGTATCAATCGAAACATTGATGCCACACTCTGTGTGAACAAGCCTTCACTTTGCCCAATGACAGCCAATTTGACGGATTATTTTGCTGCTACTGTCAATTAAGTCAATGTGTTAAGAAGAAAAGCCACAAATGCGCAATTTCAGAGCACGCGAGTCTCATTCGGTGCTTTAATCTTGAATTCGCTCACTTTAAGTCAAAATAATCATATTTCGTTGACATTAATTCAATAAATGTGAACAATTAAACCATTTACAACAAATTCGGAAGCGCAAATTCGGAGTTGATCCTACGTTTTGTTGCTATTTTGACATTTTTCGGTGGAATATCGCATTCGCATAACAAAGAACATTGTAGGGTTGGGTTATTCGATTGGCTCTGATTCAGAAAAGACATTCTGATTCGGTGGACAAGGTAAATGGCTTTTGTGTTTGTTCCATTTTCATCGAATTGTTTCTAAATTCTTTTACTTTTTTCTATTACTGTGACATTTCTTTGACTTTTTTTTGTGTCAATGCGACTTATTCATGATTGCTTTCGTTCCATTCACGACAGAGTCAACATTTGACACGATGAATGGCTGGCATTCAAGCAAATTGGTGCTTCACACAAGGGATGCAGTGGAAGTTAGAATTGGTGTTAACACTGCAAATCAGCTCAAGAAAGGGATCGACGCGGATCATGGTTTGGTGGAAGTCAAACTTGAGCAGAATATCAAAGAGGAGCCAGAGTCAGCGGATTATGTTTGCGTGGTATCGATAACAAATGAACATCAAGTACGACAAGACGTCAAATTAGAATCGGTGGGTGACGCAAGCAATGGCCTTCGAAACGATGGATCGCCTGATGTTGAAGATTTCGATTCAACTCACGTCAAACTCGAGCCAAAACCTGAAGAGGTAGACAATGCTGATGTCGAACCAAAAGCAAGCAAACAAATACAGCAAAGCGGTTCGGGCAAGCAAAAAAATCATGTAAAATGGTAGCTCCGTGACGCCAGCCCCCCCGGTTCCAAAATTTAAATCCGAGAACGATTTCGTGTTCTACGCAATTTCTGCTGATTACTGCTCGCTCCGCAGAATTTCTGCTCTAACTGGTGACGAGCAGTAATTGTTCAAAGTTTCGAAAAAT